GGTAGTTGCCTCTGCTGCCGCCGTGGGATAATAAGCCGGGTAGAGTGGCTGGTGTCGGGGTCGCTCCTAGAGGCTGAGCCCAGGGGCCTCAGAGGCTGGGTATTGAGGAACGGAGTCCTCATAGGAGGCCGGGCTTGGGGAGCAGGGATCTGCGCAGAGCCAGGCTGGGTCTCTGGAGGGCAGGCAGGGCCTTCTCCTGGGCCGGGGCCTGGGCATGTGAGCCACACCGGGCCGGCTTTAGAGTGAGGCTGACGGAGCCCAGCCGGGGTTGTGGGGGTGGCGGTTGGGGCTGCCTGCAGTCAGGGCTCGAGGTCGGCTTCTCTCAGAAACTTACTGGGGAGGCTTTCGGGTCAAGGTTGAAGCACAATCCGCTCCCCTATGGTGAGCGCCTGCGAAGTGGCCGGCTCCTTCCTGCACCCGCCCCCTGCGCGCCCTCCCATCCTGCCTCGGGGGTGAGCAAGCGGCACCGCACCTGGGCCAGGTACGGGCGCAGGTTCCTAAAGCCAGGCCGCCCTGAGAAACAGCTCCCGGGACTCGTGGGCCTTCTCGAGCTGGCTCTGCCCACGGCCCCGGCCCACCTGGAGTTTTTAAGAACACTCAGCCCAGGCACTCAACACTCAAGAGCAGTGTAGTGCAGTTTTTGTTGTTGTTGTTGTTTTCATTTAGAAATATACCTCGGCTTCCTTCTGGATTGATTTTTCTTTGAAGATGAATGAGAAATAGAACTTAAAAATCTATTCAGAGTGGTATTTATAAATGATTTTATCGTCAGGGATGCGTGTTAGAAAAATCGAAGTAATTATGCCTGGACTTCTGACGTTTCATTGGCAAACTTAAGAGGAAGTCTTGAACTTCTGATTGTCAGCTCTTTTTTTTTTAACCATTCATTGTGATTCAAGTATACAGCGTTTCTGCTTGGTCCTTGAAATTGCGTAGGCTATAATTATAATTTATCTGTAGAATTGCACTTTTCATTCTTTTGTTTTAGCGTGCTTAAGTGGTATTTCCTACTCGTGCAAAAAGTATCTTGAAAGCCTTGAGCATGTTTTTCTGTGACCTCTACAAGCAAAGGAAAAAGATTAAAATTGTCACGTGGGCAACTGTAAACACTTACACGTTTTTGCCGCTTTAAACACAATCTTCCTAATGAACAGTCTGAACACATTTTAGTTCTATATCTTTAAAAAACCGTGTTTTGCATAATGTTAGGAATATCATAAAGCGGTATAAATTTGTTGAAATATTTCGGTATAAACAAAAAAAATTTCGGTATAACTTTGGTACATGCTGGTACTACTTTAAATTGTCAAATAAAGGGAACATTCTGGTTTTTGTTTGGAAAGAACAGACAAATTGATTTCTGAATTTGAGGGTTATTTTGATTGGAAGACGCTAAATACTATACTAGGATGGAATATACAAATGTTTCCAATGTCTCAGGAGTCAAGAAGGATGGAAAGTTATTGTAGGAGTTCTTACCCTTGTAAATATTTGAATGTAATTAATATTTATGGAATATTTACTATACTGCAGTATGCATTGTGGAAAATGCTTTATATATAGTATCTCAATACTTAAAACTACTCGAGTTAGTGGCATGTAATTAAGTCAGTTTTTCCCTTCATTTTAGGATCTACCATACCTATTGACTAACTATGGAAGATTATACTAAAATAGAGAAAATTGGAGAAGGTGAGTGGCTTTAGTAATATAACATTTTTTAGAATGATTTAACAATGCTACCACCAACTTCTGTAATATGAACACATGTAAATATTTGTTAAAATTTAACGACTAAGATGTCTTGTAATATCAATGTATATTAATATATGTTGTTTACATAGTAACTTAAACACAAATTTGTTCATATTTCAAGAGAATCAAAATTATTGAGTCCCTAATGATCCTTCCCCTCACCCCCATAGTCTTACATTCTGCTGATACCCAACACTTACAGCATTACTCTTGTTTTGAAGACACTGTTGATAACTTGTACATGTATTTAGGGACAGAGGTTAGGGCAGCAGCATTATGCTAATTTCATAATATATTTTTAGTCTCAGTTATTTTTAAGATGATAAATGTTTTTATTCAGATTTTCTAGACTGGTTACAATAATTGACTTAATCTTCTATTAAGTCAGTCTTGACTTAAGTTAATTTTGATATTTAGTTACCTTAAGTATAAATGACCTGTCATATGTAGGTGTTTAATCTATTCTAAAACTATAACTTATGTATATAATCATTCCCTTTCTGTGATACTTGAAGGAATGTTTAGCTCTATATATGGCACAAATCATATCCCTTAACCTGTCCCCTTGAGTCCCGCAACAGAACATCCCAGTTTCTTTCCAGGAGTTTTGACATTCTCAATTCTCCGGGAACAAAATAATTTGCTAATAGAGTCCAGTTTGTATAGGTTCTGGCTGAAGAAAATTCCCAACTATATTTTTAATGTGATCAAAGACTCCACTTGGGAAGAAATAATAAAAAACAATGGGGCTATACTGGAGGGAATTTAGTGAAATAGGAATGACAAGTTAGTGTAGTGGTAGATTGGATGTGTGTGTGTGTGTATATATTTTTTAATCACTTAAATACCTAATTCATACCCATTCTAAATGAATTTTGCTGCTGAATTACAAATATGTGATAAGTATGTCTAATGCCTTGTAGTATGTTTCTTAAATTTTCAGAGAATTAGTGTTGATTGCAGTTTGGCATAAAAGGAGACCTTTTTTTTTTCCTTCATTTTGTTTTTATTATAGCATGTTTGCTTAATTTACAGCAAGCAGAAAATAAGCTGGGTCTTGTTTTGATCCAAACATTGATGTTTTAAAGGTTGTACACAATATTTCTTAAAAAGAACATATAAAAGTACCTTTTTAGAAGCCTCTATAAGAAAGAAAATACAAAGTTTAACCCCACAACTTTCCTCTTTTCTAGAACTGCAAACTACTGCTACAGTTTTAAATAGACTTTTTGTTGTTTATACATCCAGGAAAATCTAAAAAATTAAAGAAACGTGCATATAAATGATTGCATAGCAGAACATGAACATTAACTGCAAACAGTAAAGAAATGAAGATTAGAAATACTATCAAATATACAAAGGTTCTAAAATAATCAGTCCTTTAAACACATTCCACAAGCAGTATTTAAAATCCATCATTTTATTCTTTACAGGCAAAGCCTAGATTCCAAAAACCAAAATTGAAAAAAGTAATTCTCTAAAAGGAATTGTTTCTCCATAGTTCTTACTTATATCTGTAAGCAAGCAATCTGATTTTTAAAGATGCTAGCTTTTTATTCTGAAATGAAATTGGGCATGTCAAGTCACTTTTGTCCCCCAAACAATCTTTCAGAGAAATACTAGAAATTAGAAATGGGTAAGGATATTACTTCATTTTTTAGTCAGCTACTACACTCATAATCACAAACTCAGATGTGACTCTTGCTCAAAACTAATGCTTTTTCCAAAATTATTTTTAATTTCATGGTACCACAGAATCGCCTAGAATGAGTGTTATCTTTCAACTTGCCTCATATTAAATAAACTAAGGTGTGAAAAGCAGGCCTCGCTCATAAAGAGGCAGGCAAATTTTGATACAAATGCACAGGCCAAGTGCTGTAAGCATCAAAAAATTTTAGTTCTTTTACACTGTGCACACACACACACACAGAAGCTACTTTGAAACAATTTACTCCCTTCTAACAGCAGTAAGAAAACTAAGCAATATTATGGTCAACAATGCTCCTTAAACTTCAGAATAATTACATAAGAATATTCCTTTCTCCTTAAAATTATTTTTGCTGTTGTTGACCTGCTCAAATTTTAGGATAAGTTTTCGTGTTTTCTATGTTCCAAATCTTCACAGGAACCAGAAAAAAAGCAGTGAAGCCTCTGTGTTTCAGTCAAAAACTCAATCTCCCTGAAAATACTACCTAACCCAGCTGGCATCATTCCCCCAAGACAGTGGGGTTAACAAAAGAACTAATCCACACTTCATCATAAGTAATTATCATGGGCCTAGACTTTTTTTTTTTTGAGTGGGAGTCTCACTCCATCACCCAGGCTGGAGTGCAGTGATGCAATCTTGGCTCACTGCAACTGTCACCTCCCAGGTTCCAGCAATTCCCCTGCCTCAGCCTCCCAAGTAGCTGGGATTACAAGCGTGCACCACCACGCCCAGCTAATTCTGTCTTTTTAGCAGAGGGTATTTCATCCTGTTGGTCAGGCTGGTCTCGAATGCCTGACCTCATGACCCACCTACCTTGGCCTCCCAAAGTGCTGGGATTACAGGCATGAGCCACTGCGCCTGGCCGGGCCTAGACATTTTGACAAGACATAAAAGCCCACCCTGAACCTAAATGTGTCTAGCAGTCAGTGCTGTACTGTGGCTACTACTTCACTTTTGTATCATTTTATCTTATTAGCAAGCTACATTTCTAGGTTAACAGTTCCACCAAATATGAATATGAAAGTTTATTTTTAATGAGACAGTATTGCAAATTATGGTCAACTAACATCTTTTCACCAAACACTTCAAGCATAAAAAATGAGAATCTTTACAAAAAATGTACAGAGACACCACAAATTGGTAGCTTCCCGCCCATAACATTAAACATACTGGACTCTTAAGAGTGGCTTCTCAACAGCATATGGTTTTAATTATAACCATTGCCTGGTACAGGGAAAACTAACAAGGGTTTTTTAAGCATCATTGCAACATTGTATTCCTGATAATTTAAGTAAACCAAACTATGAGTAAATGATACATGCCTAAACATGACCATGGTTTATACTATCAGTGGCCACTGGACTTAGGACTAGTCCAAGACCTTGATCTAGATTTTGACCTAGACCTAGACTGTGATCTTGACTGAGATTTGGATCTAGGTGGTTCTTTTTTCCTTGATTCCTTTTCATATCTTGAGCCAGACTTATAATGTGTTTTGGAATCTGTTTTAGAGGTGCCTCTAAGTTTTGGTGTGAGATGCAGACCTAGAAGGTGATTTAGCCTTCATTTTTTGGGGGGGCTGGGTCTTGGACCGTGATCTTGAATTGGATTTAGATTTTGAAAAAGATCAATTTCGGTGCTTGAATCTATCATTGTCTGAATGGCTTCTCCTATGCCGTGGTCTTCCAGTCGGTCTACGCTTTCTAGGACTATACGATCTTCTATAGTTGTAATCAAAAGACCGACTTCTTGATCTCCTTCTTTTGTGACTTCGGCTTCTTGAACGTCTGTATCTGTCATAATCATCATAGCGTGAAGAACTATACGCATTCCTCCCTTCCTTGACTTTCATCTGATTTGGTGTCTTCCAGTCCCCCTGAGCAAACTGTATTTCAATCTGCTGTTTACAAATCCACTTTCTGTCCAAATTATGTAAAGCATCTTCAGCATCACGACCATACTCAAATTGAACATAAGCAAATCCTCTTGGACGGTGAGTGTAGAAATCAAGTGGAACATACACATCAACTATAGGACCATAACGACCAAATTCATGCTGTAAATCTTCAGACCTGGTATTGTAGGCCACGTTCCTGACGAACAGAGACGTGTTTGGGGGATGCAGGTAGCTGGACATGGCGGCGGCGTGTCTTGGCCAGGTGCACTAACGGGTTCAGCAAACCGTCCGCGGCTCCGGCGCCGAAGCCTCAGACACATACAGCCAGAGGGCTCTGCTACGACAACTGCCTCTTTTTTTTTTTTTTAAGACAACATGGTTTCACCATGTTGGCCAGGCTAATCTGGAACTCCTGACCTCAGGTGATCCATACCCGCCCCCCTCAGCCTTCCAAAGGGCTGGGATTACAGGTGTGAGCCACCGCGCCCAGCAAAAGGAGACCTTAAAGTGTAAATATATTATTCTTTAAGATGATAGAACTCCAAGCATACAAGAGTACAGGTTTGACCTGAAAAAAGTACTTTAATAGCTACTACAAATAGGAGCAGTTAAGAAGGGAATTTTAAATTTAATCCGTTACATACATGTAAGTCATAAGACCCCCATTCTTCATTTCTAGCAGTGTGACAGTGGTAAACCCTCTAACTTTTCTGGATCTCAGTTTCTCCCTCTGCAAATGGTGATAATTGGACTTACCACAAAAGATATGATTATTCAATGGAACAGTGTTATGGAAAGCATTTGAGTGCTTTAACTCAGAAAACCTTCAAATGCTTATCATTTGAAGGTTGAATTATTATTATGAACAGTTTCCTTACCAGCCTCATCTAATGCCACTCATCTATAATTTGGATTTTTTTGTCCTCAAATGTATCCTGTGACTTGGCCTATGAGTTTTGGCAGTGGCTGTTCTTTCTACCTGGAAGCCAGTCTCTACTAGCTTCATTTTTTTTTTTTATTTTGTCTAGTCTGAGAGCATTTTGTAGTTCCCTTTGCATCGTGCTTAATATCCTTTTTAATTATTATACCATAGGTCCTTGAGAGCTGGATTTTTGTCTTGTTCACAACTGTTTGCCCACTCCTTGGCAGTAGTGCATAATACACAGGAGATACATGAATAGATAATAATAACAACTATTTTCCTTGTTTGTTCTTCTGAACTCTGTTGTTTCTTTTTCTGGCTTGGATTGTCTTTTCAACTCCAGTGCCTGATTGTTTTGGATTATGTTCTGGATATTATTTTGGAAAAATGAACTTGTGGAAATAATTGGAAGCCTAAATAATCCACACACAATTTTTTTTTTTGTTTCTGCCAGGTATCTGGTTAAAGTCTAGTATTAAAGTACTGTTTTTAAAGTTATATTTTTTTCCCCTCAACTTTTCTTTTTGAACATTTCCAAATCTATAGATATACTGAAAGATTTATGCATGAACTTGTAATACTTTACGAAGATATTGGTGTTTTGTCATATTTACTTTATTTGTGTGTATGTTAACACAAATTTAACACAAATTTATTTTTTATTTTTCTCATTGACAGATTTTAATGGTACATATTTATGGGGTATGGTTTGGTGATTTGATACATGTATGTGTTGTATGATCCAATCAGAGTAATTAGCCTATCCATCACTTCATCATTTCTTTGTGGTGAGAACATTCAGATGTTTTGCGTTTTAATGCATTTCAAGTAAGTTGTAGAGATATTCTTCCCCTAAATCTGTGGGTATATTCTGAATATTTACCCAAGGTCATGCCTTTCATGTGGCAGTTAATACCTCTTTTAATTCTGAAAAGACAGTCTCTGCCTTTTCTCTCAGTTGACAGTGAGTCTTGACAACCTAATTCATTTCTTAAATACATCCAGACTTTTCTATTTTAAATATTACAAAAATTGTTCTCTGGCTTCTTCTGAATTACAGAAATCTGAGTGTTGTCATACTAATCCTTGAACTCCTCCTTCCTGTCTTAAGAAAATGTCTTTTTGGATCATGGAGTAGCTGTATCCATGGTAGTGAAACCTTACCCGGCATTTAGTAGGCGTTTGATAAATACTTACTTAAGGAAGTTCTTCTGCTTATGGGCCTCCATAACTTGATCATATTTTACATATTTTTTTATTTGTTTGTTTCCTGGGATAAGTCTTCTGGTAGATTTAGGCTGATCTCCTAGGCTTACCTGTGTTAATGATTTTTGCTTCCTTAGTTATTTATAATTAGTTAGATACCCTAGAGTATTTCTATCTTTGGAATTCTTAGTTCAGTTTGGAGCATATATGATGTATTTAAAAAATAATTTTGGATGATTAACCAATAGAATAGTTCTGCTTTGTTTAATCCCATTCCAGTAGTTCAGTGAGAAGTAATATTATCTCTAAAATTCAACACATTGATTGTTGGCCACTGGTTAATCAATTGTTAATTCTGAAAATTATTTAGGATTAGATGAGATTGTACACTTGAGGGAAAAGAAAGGGTGTTAGAAAAAAAATTAGTTCTGAATTTACCATTAACTGCTTATTTGACTGTATTTTGCAGGTGACTAATCTTCCCGAGATCACTTTAACAGTATGCTAGATGAGTGTGCTACTCGTTTACCTACTTTTTGTGTTTAATGTGAGCTTAATTTATATCCAAAAAAGTATAGATTTTATGTGTATGAAGGTTACCTACTTTTAAGGATGGCTGTGAGGATAAAATATAGTCAGTTCTCCTTTAACAGAGTAATTTTGGTTATCAACAAGTTATACATTAATCCACAATTGAAATAATATAAAATGAATTTTATGTCAGTTTATAGTTTTAAAATGACATCAGTATTTAAGAAAACAGATTTTGTGTAGAGTCTCTGTCAAAAAATTAGAACAAAGCTTAAGTAACATCAATTTGCTACTGCTCAAAGGGCTTAATATTCTAACTAAGCAGTTGGTAATTTGCTGGTTGTTAGCCTTTTTTGAAATATTGGTACCTTCAGAGAAACTCATAAAAGCTATAGAAGAGGCCTTCTTCCTAATCACTTTTGAAGTTAAACCAATGCCATGGAAAGCAAAAGCCATTCAACAACATTTTATGTGTACTTAAGGAGTTCAGGATTTCCCTAAACTTCGACCCAATTTTACAAAGACTTACCTAGGGAATTCAGTGCTGCCACATATATGATGTATTTTAGACAGTCTTCTTGCTTATTGCCATTTCATTCCCTGTATTCACCTCCTCCCTCCCTACTGTCCCTTACAATTGACATTGCGCATTACCTGAAGCCAATATATCAAAATCAGTGTTTTCATCAACTTGCAAATGGGTGTGAGGCTTTCCTAATATATATAGTACATACTGTGTGCTTTAATAGGTCTAATAAACAAACACCTGGTCTTTTATCTCCATTCTTTTGAGAATGAGGACTGTTTACTGTATTTTGAGATATAGATGAAAGTGTTATGAAAAGCATAAAACACTGCAGAATTTTCTAAAAGTATCATGGTGACTCTTATCAGTAGTATTTCATGAGCCCACATTTTTACACTATATTTTATGCCGACTTTATTGCTGGGTAGGATTTTGGCAGGAGGTTAATTTTAATTTGCAAATGATCTATTTTCTTCTGTAAAATATGCTGGAACATTAACGGTAATTTAAATGTATAGAAAACTTGTGATGACTACATGAATCATATTTTTAAGCCATACAGATTGTGGCAACTCTCAATTTCTTTTTGGAAGCAATGAGGGTATGAGTAAGATATTTCCCATCTGGCCATGCCAGACATTTCTATCATGTGACCCCTATGGGATTCAATAATCTTAAAATCTTAGTTTGACCAGGTATGGTGGCTCAGCACTTTTCAACGGTGAGTCAGGTGGATTGCTTGAGCTCATGTATTCCAGACCAGCCTGGGCAACATGGTGTGAAACCCCATTTCTGCCAAAAATTAACTAGGTGTGGTGGCATGTGCTTGTAGTTTCAGCTACATGGGAGTGTGAGGATCCCTTGAGCCCAGGAGGTAAAGGTTGTAGTGAGCTTTGATCGCCCCACTGCACTCCAACCTGGACAAGAGAACAAGAACCTGCCTCAGGAAAAAAAAAAAAAGATCTTTCAGTTTGTGGGTTGTGTCACACAGTGTATTATTTACTTTGTTTCAGGTACCTATGGAGTTGTGTATAAAGGTAGACACAAAACTACAGGTCAAGTGGTCGCCATGAAAAAAATCAGACTAGAAAGTGAAGAGGAAGGGGTTCCTAGTACTGCAATTCGGGAAATTTCTCTATTAAAAGAACTTCGTCATCCAAATATAGTCAGGTATGGAATGATATCTGAATGTAAGCCATTTTCTGCATGCTGTTTCAAATGTAAATTTCAACTTGGAAATCTTAACATTTGCTTAATTTCTTGATCTAGCTTTACTGAGTGGACTAGAACCCTACTATTTTTGTTAGCTGAGAATGCTGCACATATGTAAAATAGAATAGGCTGTTAAAGCAGGAACACAGTCACAGGAGCTTGGTGATGTAGATTAATATTTGAGACTGGAAAAGCAAGGTAAATTGGCCATGGGAATAAAGCCCTTTTTATAGAGCTTTGTCAACTCTCTCTTACTTAGGAGTTCTAGTCCTGAAGACACTTTAGTCGGAGTCTTAAGAAAGGTAGCTAGGTCAAATGAAAAAGATTTTTTTCCTTCAAGTATTTGCACTGGGTGTTTTTGGGGAGTTGTCTTCCTAATAGCCTAAGTTAAAATCTAATCGTATTTGGCTGGGGCTGGAGATTGGAAGTAACTTTTAAGGTCAGATACCACTTTAAAATTTATTTGTGTAATTGACTTCAATGAAAAGATAAGCTCTGAACAATTAGTAGCCAATCTAGATATGTTCTTTTGGAATATAGGTTACTTATAAGTAAGCACGTCCTGTTCAAGGCTTAATTTTAAATTATTGCCCTGAGATTCCTCTTCCAAATTTGAGTTTTGTGTTGTTCATTAGGGAAGCTAGTATGTCTTCCCCACTTTTTATTATAGCAACTGAAATTATGGAAGGAGTTTTATTTTGTGAAACAGAGGTCAGAAATGTTTGCTGGATTCTTTTTTCATATAATATATATTTTTTTTAGTCTTCAGGATGTGCTTATGCAGGATTCCAGGTTATATCTCATCTTTGAATTTCTTTCCATGGATCTGAAGAAATACTTAGA